AAAAGAAACCAGGGAATGGTATGGTTTAAGAGGATGGTGGAATCAGAAAGATTTTATTATTTATTATAGGTGTGAGCCACTGTTCCCGGCTGGGAAATTACATTACATCTTTGTCGTCTGGTTTCTTTCACTTAATATAGTGAATGCTTTGAGATTCACCCACACTTTTATATGTGACAGTGGTTTGTTTCTTTTTATTGCTGTGGGGTATTTCATCATATGGATGTGCCACAATTTGCTTCTTTATTCATCAGCTGACAGACATTTGAATAGTTTTCAATGGTTTTGGGTTATTGTGAATAATTATGCAATAAATATTCATTTTTAGGTCTTTGTGTGAACATATGTTTTCATTTCTTTTGGGCAAGTACCTAGGAATGAAATTTCTGGGTTATATTTGTTAGTGTATAATTAACTTCATAAAAAGTGGCAAACTGTTTTCTAAAGTGGCTGCACCATGTTACATTCTATTGTATTGGTTTTCTAGAGCTGCCAAAACAAAATGCCCAGGCTGGGTGGCTTCAACTACAGAAATGGATTGTCTCACTATTCTGGAGGCTGGAAGTCTGGGGTCAGGGTGTCGGCAGGGTGGCTCCTTCTGAGGCCTTTCTCCTTGGCTTGTGGCTGGCTGCCTCTGCCTGTGTTTTCACATTTCCTTTCTGTACTGTCTGTGTCCAAATATCCTCTTTTTGAGGGTACCATCCATATTGGATCAGGGCCCATCTCAAGGGCCTCATTTCAACTAATCACCTCTTTAAGGTCTCTCCAAATACAGTCACATTCTGAGGTGTGGGGGATTGGAATTTCACTATATGAATTTTAGGGGTGTGGGTGGGTTCACAATTTAGCCTAGAACACCCATCAATAAGGAATGAGGGCTTCAGTTACTTTATCCTTGCCCACACTTGGTATTGCCAGTCTTTTAAACTTTAGTCATTTTAGCAGAGTTTAGAATTCATTGTTGTTTTAATGTGCCCACTTTTTTCCTTTCTTTTCTTTTTCTTTTTTTCCAGCAAAGAAGAGCATTGGTCTCTGTGAATTAGCTCAGTCCTATTGCTGAGAAGGCCGGGGTCGTTGTCATTGTGGTATCCCATAGTGACCAATCAATGCGCTAGCCATTCTGAAAGGCAGTGTTATTGTTTCATGTCCAAGGAAGTGTGGATGGTTCAGTACAAATCTTTCACCACTCCTTGCAAAATGACCTTTGTCTGACTGATGGTGTGAGGACTTCACACATTTTTTGGAATGAATGAGGGATTGTGAGAGCACTTGGAGTCAGATGCAGCCAACACTTGGGGGCAGCTGATGGTTTCAACTTTCTCAAGATAACGCTAAAAAGGGCGGTCTGGCCAATAAGAAAAATATAATTAAATAAATTAGAGCTGGGAAAGGGACAAGTTATTTAAAACCAAATAACAAATAGCAGGGAAAAGAGCAAATGTAGTTCCCATTGGCACAAATTAGGTAGCTGAGTTTCCCAGGTTTGGGGAAATTGCAGGGGTCAGCACATCTGGATTGCAGTGGATAAGCCTTGCCCTGGGAAAACCTCCTTTGTGTTCCTGGTATCTCCTTTGCCAAGATTTACGATAAGAGTGAGAAATGCTTGTTGTGGTAAAGGAGTTAGGTAACTCATCAACTTATTGGATCTATTATGATCAAATTTGCTTAGCCTAACACAAGTGTCATTCATAATAAAACTGGACATTATCCTGATATATGATTAAGCACAATGGACTGACCAATGACATGCATGTGTCTTAAGAATTACCTGTCCTGGCTCAGCACCTGTAGCTCAGTGGGTAGGGTGCCAGCCACATTTACCCAGGCTGGCAGGTTCAAATCCAGCCCAGGCCTGCTAAACAACAATGAAAACTGCAACAACAAAAAAAAAACAGCTGGGCGTTGTGCTGGGTGCCTGTAGTCACAGCTACATGAGAGGCCGAGGCAAGAGAATCGCTTAAGCCCAAGAGTTTGAGGTTGCTAATGAGCTGTGACTCCACAGCACTCTACTAAGGGCGACATAATGAGACTCTGCCTCAGAAAAAAAAGGCTTTACTTCCCAAGTAAAGCAGCACATAGACATAGGCATAAATATAGATACATTTGTAGCTTTCTGTTTTTAGCAGATGTTTCCATTTCAGACTCAATGTCTAACAATTTAGATCCATTCCTTCTTCTCCTTGCCATTTCTCTCCCTCCCCTGAGTCGCCCCTACATTCAAGCCCACAAAAGCGACTCTGATAGATGTAGAGTGATATTAGGATTGATTGGCCTGCCACTGACGGTGGGTACGTGTTCTGTTGTGCATGGGGGAGGCTGAGAGAGGGGCCGGGTAATAGAATGATTTGTCCTACAAGCCAGCTCCTCCTTGATGAACAATCAGACACAAATGTCAATAACAATTGGATTGTCTGTAAGCTACAGTCACTTAGGGCTCCCGGAGCCTGTCCACAGAGCTGGATTGAAACCCTCAGCCTCGTGAATGCCAAATCAGGTTTGGCATCGGGAATGAAAAGCCATCAGCAGTAATAGTATTACGAGGCTGTTGGTCGAAGAAGTGCAAAGGGCTCAGAATAATGCTCGGGCTCTCGTGGGTCACAGGGTGGAGAACGGCTGCAGGGAAGTGAGGAGATGAGAGGGGTGCTCAGCGGGCAGGCCTGGGGCTGGAGCTCGCCTTCCCACGAGTCTGCGCTCTGCTGGGGCCTCTGTCGGGTCAGATGGCCAGAACACCTGCGTGTGGCATCTCCGCCTGCCTGCTTGGCATCCTTGCAAGACAGCGTCTAGGTTCCCAGAGGGAGAATCCCAAGTAATGGGCGAGCAGGTGAGAGGAAAGCCAGGCGGAAGAAATGCTGCCTTTCATGACTTCACCCGGAGCCATGCTCTTTCTGCTTATCTAGGAAGCCACAAAATTCTGCCTGCTTTCAAGGACAGTGGAAATGAACTCTGTCACTTGGTCAGGGTTGGTGGTGGTAGTGCTCTGGAAGTTGCATATGGGACTTGCAACATGGCTGCAGGCATTCTGGGGACAATCCAATGCTCCACAGTTGACGTGCATACAGCACTTGGAACAGTAGCTGGCTCACAGAAAGCTGATGTGATCGCTTTGTTGTTCATGCTTTTTCCTACAACAACACATTGCAGGGTCTTAGCAGGTAGAGAACTTAGAATTCTCTGTTACCCCACATGGCTCAAGACCCAAAGGAAATGGTCATCAAATGTTCATTGAATGATTGATGAGAGTATGTTGGTTTGTTGGTTTATTTAGAGATGAGGTCTCACTATGTTGCTCAGGCTGGCCTTGAATTCCCAGTCTCGTGTGATCCACCCATCTTAGCCTTTTAAAATGTTGGGTGTGTGCCACTGGGACTGGCTAGTGAGAGATTTTTAATACTTTAGCTCAGAGGTTCTCAAAACTGCTCAAAATCCTGAGAGGATCAGTGATAAATATCTCCAAGTTTTACCTCTGACCTCCTGAATCAGTCTTGCTAAGGCTGAACCCTGGGGATAAGCAGGTTTTTTTTTTTTGAGACAGTCTCACTTTGTCACCCTTGGTAGAGTACCATGTTGTCACTGCTCACAGCAACCTCCAACTCCTGGGCTTAGGCTATTCTCTTGCCTCAGCCTCCTGAGTAGCTGGGAATACTAGTGCCCGCCAAAGGCACAGCCATTTTCTTGTTGCAGTATGGCCAGGGCCAGGTTTGAACCCACTCCCTCGGGATGTGGGGCTGGTGCCCTACTCACTGAGCCACAGGCACCACCCGGGATAAGCATTTTTAATGACCTCCCCCAGTAGCTCACATGCAGCCAGTGTGGGGACCAGGCCTTTACGAACCATTGGTTTAACTAGAGAGAAGCTAAGATTTTAATGACGGAAGATCTGGCCCATTTAACAGATGAGCACACTGAGGTTGAGGGGATGAAGGATAGAACGAATTACAACACCTTGTGAGAAGCCTAGTATAAGAACGCTGGGCACTCCTCCAACTCGTTGGTGAGGATGATGTTTTGGGGTCAGGGATATGATGGACGTGAACCCAGCGTCAGGGTCTTTTTTTTTTGAGACAGAGTCTCACTATGTTGCTCTCGTGCCGTTGCTTACAGTAACTTCAAACACTTGGGCTTAAGCGATTCTATTGCCTTAGCCTCCCAAATAGCTGGGACCACAGGCGCCTGCCACAATGCTTGGCTATTCTTTTTTGTTTGTTTGTTTCATTTTGTTGTAGTCTTCACTGTTGTTTTAGTAGGCCCGGGTCTGGTTGGAACCCACCAGCCCCAGTGTATGTGGCCGGCACCCTAACCACTGAGCAACGGGCATGGAGCCAACTTTCAGGGTCTTTTAAATCAGCAATTGTCAAATTTGATTTATGTGTTTGCTTCCCCCTTTTTCTCTTTTTATTTTTTTGCCACACTTGAGTAGCATCTGTACTTAATTCATCTGCTATTTATCTTTAAGTGGATTCACTTTTTTTTTTACATAGACTTACTCTCTTCGCCAGTCATAAAAACCACCAAAGCAGGAGTGTGGTGACCTAGTTCCACCGTGGTTCTAATACACACAGAAATGTAGACATGTCACCTATGGAATTAAGAAAACATGGGCCTGTGTCACAGCTAAAATCATCTATAATACAGTGTCTCAGACAAGATTGGCTACATCCCCCGTGGAGCCAGTGCCA